GACTCTCAGCTACTACCACGCTTCAGCTCACTACCTGTGAGCGCAGTCGTGTTTGTTTGCTTTAAAACAACAAATTATTATTTTTTTTTGTCCGTCTGGTTCTGAAAGTTTAATTAAAAACATGATATTTAACAAAACAGTCTGATGAATACGTATCTGCTGGCCTGCCGTAGCGCAGCGGCTGGTCCCGAGCCTCGGGTCGGACCGATGGTACCGAACAACAAAAAGAAACTGAACCAAAGGTTCTGTTTGTGCGAAACACAAACCTAAATGTTTGTTGTCTTTCAAATATCGTAACAAAGAGTTTAAGTAGTCTTTAAAAGTGTTAACAGCTCCATGAAAATGTAATAAATGATCACTGAATTCATTAAAGGCCCAGTTTTTGTTGGAGTTATGTTTTTAAAAGGTTCCAGGATTAGTTGTAACATTAGACTTTATTTGATAAACATTTATTTTAACTGTAAAAATGCTGTAGTTTAGTTTTGTACATTTTTAAAAATATATTTTAACACGGACGGAGCCATTTTGTTTACATGCAAAGCATTCTGGGTAAATGATGACGTGGATAGGTCCTCGGTGCGAGGCTGCTAGCGAGCTATATCCACCCTGAAGGTTAATCTTGTCTTATCAGCTTAGCCTGATAGCCTTCGTGCTAGCGCCGAGCTAATACATATATATGGTGATAGCATCGGGGCTAACACTAAAGCTAACAGGCTAAGTTGAGGTTTTACTACTACTTCCTGTTGTCTTCTTTGCAGTCTTTCACCAGTAAAAACAGCCGGTTATTGATCACGGGACTCGTGATGCGAAAAAAGTGTTTCCATTGCAGTTTTGTGAAAAACACCTATTTCAATATGGCCGAATAACCACCTCATCCTAGCGCAAAAACATTTTGTCGAAAAATGTGTTTTTTCAAAATTGACATTTCCATTAAGCAAATTTTTTTCCGAAATTCTAATTTGTGCATTTTCACGATCAATGGAAACGCAGCTAGTGATCTCGCCTCATGCACCTTCCTGACTTTGCAGTGAGATACTTTAATTTAATCACTGACATGTTCTTTTTTTTTTTTAACCTGGGCCAGTTTCCTGTCAGAGTTTGAGATGCGCGCTGTGACTCAGCAGTTTTTCGAAAAATGTTCAAAACTCAAATTGTGAACCACCGCAAACATGGAGACACTTTAAATACTCACGTTTGTCTCCAGCAGTTGCAGTCCAGTGAGGTCTTTATCATTTAATTATTTTATTTTTACTGGAGAAATCAGTTTTATAGTTCTGGACTTATGACTTTTTACACAGTTAGTGTTTGTCTGAGGCTTACTTTTTACTCAGCTTTCATGTCTACCTGTCTTATAAAGTGCTGCAAGGTTTCAAGCTCCTTTCTGCATCGAGTCCTAAAAGTCTTTTCAAAATAAAACGGAGTTCGTCTCCTCAGTGAAACCTCAGAGATGTCCGACGTCGTGGTCGGATCGACACTCACGCTCTTTGACGCCGAAGCAGGAAGCCCACTCCTCCAGGGCGATGTATTTGTCGCCGTCCAAGTCGCAGGCTTCAAAGAAGCGGGTGGTGCAGTGCTCCATGGGAATGAGAGGAGCGCGCAGGGGGGCGAGCTCCGAGTGGGTCAGGTACCTGAGAAGAAACCAACCAATCAGAACCTCGCTGAGGGATGATTATAAAAAGAACCAGGTGGTTCTGGTCTGGTTGTTTCGTACCCGTCGATGGGGTGCTGGTCCAGCTGTCCGAACTGCCAGTGGACGGGGAAGATGTACATGTTGTAGTTCTTCTCGAAGTCGCGGGCCAGCAGGTCCAGAGAGTGCTCGCCGGCTTCCAGTCTCTTCTCGTTCTCGTAGATCTTCTTCACCTGAGGGGAGGRACAGGTGTGCTTTCAAATCCACAACCTCAGCTGCATTTCCTTCACCTCATCGATTGTCAGGTAGTTTGGATTCTGGTGTTCTCTTTATTATTTATCACTTTACCTGTAACAAATTTGTTTAAAATACATCTGTACACAATTATGTTGCTGTGGACTTTTAGTTATGTTTAGTTAAAGCTGGATCTTTTAAAAATGGATTATAAGTTAAGAAAGAATTGATTGATCAATGTCATCTCTCTGTGACATGATAATAAGCTGATAATAAGCTAATTAAAGGATAATTATAAGCTAATAATAAGTCAATAATAAACTAAACTGATTATAAACTGATTATAAGATGATGATAAACATATAATAAACTGATTTTAAGCTGATCAAAAGATGATAATAAACTGATTATAAGATCATAATAAACAAATTATAAGCTCATAATAAACTAATTATAAGCTGATTATAAGCTGATAATAAACTGATTATAAGCTGATAAACTGATTATATGCTGATAATAAACTGATTATAAGCTGATAATAAACTGATTATAAGCTGATAAACTGATTATAAGC